AAAAAAAAAAAGGGCTTGATACTTGATGAGCAGCATTTGATGAAAGGCATTAGTGGGCCTGCATTATTTATCACTGGCGAGTGATGCATTGACTCATTAAATATGTATACGTACATTACATGAGAAAGAACATGTCCCATAGCATGTCATATTGATTCTGGTGTGAGTTACGAGTCCCCTGCACGATCCATATGGAGAAAAAAAAGCATTAGGAAAGACGGCACACCAAATCGTTTAAGAGCTATATTGACCCCTCCCCACCCCCGACCGCCACCACCTCCGGATGCATTGTCACGGTCCAGAAGTTGCAGAGTTTGAACTTGCTGGCTTCAATAGATCAAGGGTATAGTGTCTGCACATGCAGCAGATTTTTGTGTGGGAGCCGAGTGTGAAATGACGTGATGGGAAAACTAAGATGTGGCGTCAGAGGAGTCTTACCGTTATTGACATCCTTCCCTCAGCTGGTTAGCGATCCTTTCTCATCTCCCGCTGCCTATTTTCATTTCCTTGGCTTCTGCGGAAGTGAGAATGACCTCTAAACTATGCTAATGCACAAGCCGGTGGCGCTCATCTGAGGCAAGAAAGAAAGAAGGACAAAAACAACAGCTTTGTAATCCAAAACGAATCCCTCGGCTCAGAAGAACATTCATCTTTGCTTCCCTCACCTTAAAAGACCCCGTGCCCGTACATCGGTTTGATAGTAAGGAATTTATATCATGCAATTTTTGTCAGCCTGGAAAGACAAAAATGCAAAATGGCTCCGCTTATAGGTTACAAATGCCTTAAAGGTGACGCTATGATAATCTCCTGTGATTGCCTCCACCTTTCAAAAAAAAAGAAAGTCTTCCTTGGATGTATTCTCAATTAGTATTCACGGCTGAAAACGAGTGTAAGTTAAATTGTTCCCAAGCCACCTCAAACCGCTGGCAGCTGCTGCTCTCCCAGGTGACTTGTTTCATCTACAAAGACATGCAAGCCACCATGTTACACAATCCAGGGAAAAAAAAAAAAGACAATGTGAGGGATTACGCATCCTCTCATGAGGGTGTTTTAAGCTGCACTTTAAAAAAGCACTGATGTTTGAATATTCAAGTGTAGAGGGGTCTCGGGTGCAGGAGCAGAAAAACTGACACTAGAAGAGATCAACAATTGATAAAAGTTCTAAACTTCTGAAGTGGATGCAGCAATTTATATATACATACATACATATACATATATATATATATATATATATATATATATATATATGTACACATATATGTGTACACCCAATGAGAACGGTTGTTCCAATATTGAATTGAATAAAGATCTAGAGGAGGCATTTCCTCAAAAAATGAACTGTAAGAATGCTGCAGTGCATGCATGCTGCAACAGCGACAGTTCCTTGTATTTGTCATGTTGATTTAGTTTTAGAACAACAGGAGAGCCCTTTGGCAAATGTGTGCGTGCACACTCACACACACACAGTAAAAACATGGAGTCACACACGGTGGCTCAGCGGGGGGGGGGTTAATAAACCCACAGTATCGTGGATCTATGGGGGCGTCTCGGGACGGAGCCAGGAAACCAGATGAACGTACCTGCCCCGGGGCGCGAGGAGAAACAGCACGGATGGGGGTGGGAGCCGGTGAAGCCACAGGCACATTATGTCTCTCATTGCCCTGACTTCTCCTCTAAGTCCCGTCACTCGCCCACTCCGTCGCTGCTAACATCATCAGCCACACGAAAGCCTCGCCCACAAACACTGATGTGTTTGTCAGAGAAAATGCCCAATCACTTTAATAGCATTTCATGCCATCTCTGCTTTCACAAAGGGACTCTGGAGAGCTTTTTTCCTCCAGTCTGGCTAAATGGGGACTGTAATTTCAGACAAAACGCAATGGAAATGCAGAGGGCAGCCAATCAGATTTAATCATGTATGAAGAGATGTAATTTTGGAGGACACCAGGGCAGAGCGGGTTGATACGGGTGTTAGTTACTATGCAAAGAGGCGTGTCCATCCTCCCCGAATATGAATTTATGAAGCCTGCTTGTGATTTCAATCTGACTAATGTATCAGAACAAACCCATCTGTGCAGCACTGACCCCTGAAGTGAGGGATTGCGGGGGGGGGGATGCAGCGAGCGTGGGCGGATGGTTTATCCTCCCACCATGAACCAAGGTGGTCAGTGAGAAGAAGGCAAATTAAACATTATTTTATCCACAGTTGTAGAAGCTTAAAGGAAAAAAAAAACAAGGAAGTAAGAAAGAACATCCCTCCAGAACAAGTTCCATGGGAAAAATTTTATTTATCAATATGCGGTAATTTCCAAACTGTTGGAACGTTATTTCCATTGTAGCTGGTGCCGATAGGTTACGCTGAGAAGCGGCAAAAGAAGTGAATGGCAAAAAAAAAGAAGAAGAAGAAACAAACGAAAGAAACAAAACAACTTGACAGTTATGATCCAAACAAAGGGAAACAAATTCAACAGGTTTTTTGCGTACACATGCACATTGAAAAATAATACTGTGGCATTGAACAATAGCAGAACTCAACCTACAGTGAGGCTCAAACCACCAGCAACCCCCCTTTCTCTCTCCGTCAAGCCCGGTAGTCTTATTAAAACTGAGAAAAGATTCATCTTCCTGGACCAAAATGGTTTTGTTACATCTAGTAATGGAGTGGAAGGTGTGGGTAACTCAAAGGCAGTGGAATTAAAACAGTCTTCACGTGCAGAGTTAAGTGGCGTCCCCCACAGGGAACGGGCCTTCTCACTCTTACTTTCAATGACCTCTGCATTCCGGAGCCGCTCGGTGGCAACGCTTCAGTCCGCAACAGTTTTCTGAGCAACCACAGTCCCGTTGAATGGCAATGTTAAAACTCTGAACCCCATTGTTGTTTTTTCTTAACACGTGTGGTAACAAAGACTTTTTGACAATACTTGACCCTGCAAACAAACAATAAAAGACAGCTCATGTGTTGCAATATTCAGATTAACTCTAAAATAAAAATAAAAACAGAAAAAATGCAACAAAAAAAATGCAAGGATTCATACAAAACACACTTTTAAAAAGACAGCTATTTACAAACATCCTCCATTACAAAAATCTAATCTTAAATTCTTTTTATGAGCAGTGTTCAGGTGACATTACATCTTAAATTGGGCTCTATCCATATATTTACATTACTCTTGTTGTCTCCTTTTTCATTTTCTTTTTTTGTTACTTCTTACCCAAAAATTTGAAAAACGTTTGAGGTGGTCAATAGAATGAATGGAAATGAAATATGGTGTGTGGTAATTTGATAATGACTCCCTTGGCTGGCCGTAGGTGAATGGATGCGCACCGATCCGAAACAAAAATATTTGATTTAAATGTGTTTCACAGAGGGCCGCTGAGGGGCCGCGTGCTGAGTTAAAACACAGGGCCGCAAAAAAGCACCAGCAGCTGCTCAGGCCGTTAACTCCGAGGTTAACGACACGCAAACGCCACTGGAGTCATCCAACCTCCCCCCCACCCCCCCAACACACACACACACCTCCAGAGGTCTCCAAAGCGGGGGGCTGCCCTTTAACCTAAGCGGGTGGTGTGTCCCGGTGGAGGCCACCAGTACGTGGCAGCGGATGATGTGTGTCTCTGCCTGACCTCTTCGGCGGGCGCGTCAGTGGGGCACGCACGCGTCAAAAAACGTCAGCGCGCCGAGGGGGAGGGCTGTCCTTAATCCGCCCCGACCCTCTCTTTTCATTCTTCTCGCACGTCATAAACTGGGGACTGCGGCGCTCTGTACAACAGCCGCACTGTTTGGGAGCACCTAGTTCCGGTCCCCCCCCCCCCCAAAAAACGAAGTGAGCGGACGCCCCGCGAGAGGCCTTCGCACGCACACACACACACACACACCTAGACGTGCAGGAAAGATAGAAATAAGAAAAACTGCAAATATCAGCACAAATAAGCACTCACACTCAAAAGCACCTGGATGTGCACACACAGGCGGCCGCCCTCCCCCCCCCCCCCTCCCTCGCCTAGAAGCGAGCGTCGGCGTGCGCGCGCGCGCACACATCCGGCAGCTCTAAATCCTGTCTCGGTTCCCGCCGCCCTGGGCCGTGTGATAGCTGAGCTGCAGTGTCCTCGCCGGCGAACACCTTGACTGAGGAACGTTCTGCACAGCATTTTTCCATTCACAGCGCAACTGGCGAGAGGGTGGGGGGAAAACGAATGCTAAACTACAAACACCACCCACCCCACCGCCTACACCCGGCCTCATTCCCCATCCCCAGTGCCATCTTCCCTCGCAGGTTAAAGCCAAGTCACAGGAACATTTCCGCCTCTCTCTGTGTGTGTGTGTCTCTCTCTCTCTCTCTCTCTCTCCTCCCCGGCTGGCGGGTGTGGGCACGGAGATGGCACATAGATTAGTCACACGCTGGCGACACAGCCGACGGAGCGCTCCACTGACTCATCCACAGATGGCAGCCAATTGGCATCGGCCTGTACAGTATCCCAGCGCTCAGCCGCCGCCCGCCGTCCAGCTTATATTTAGGGCATCCTCCCTATGTAGGCCAGCCACACAACCTGCAGCCACCTCGCAGCGGGCATCACACACGTGCTTGATGCTTACACAGGAACACCAGAAGCCAGAACAAACAAATATCAACACGCCGGCTGTACTTAGAAAAAACAGCCTCCTCTTAAAGCTCATCAGAGATGATGAAACCTTCAGCTGAAGCCAAGTGGAACGAATTCTTTGTAAAAATTTTCGGTGCGTCAGTATGCCTGTCTGTCTTGAGTGTTTTACCCAGAAGCCAATGCGTATGCCCAGACACAGGACCGGTCCGGACATGCCCAGACACACACGCACTCACACAATACACACCTTCAAATACAAATAAGCGGGTCATAAATACCAGAGTAATGGCAAAGCTCATATCAGACCAGTGGAGAAAGGATTTTTCTAAGACACACAAACACACACACACACACACACACCTCTATGTCAACAGTCCGGGTTAAGAAACTTTCTCAGGGGGGGGGGGGGGGGTAAAAGAGTGGGAGAAAATGCAATGAATGGCATGGGTTGACATGGGTGGTGAGAATAAATGTGGTAATAATGATGATCTATTCAACTCTATACATTGTGCACTTTTAGGAAAAGTCTAACAAAATACAACTGCTTTGTGAACTGAATCTGGGTTTGAGGAAATCCTCCATCAAAAATAGTAAGTAAGGCAAACATCAGAGGTGCGAAGGGAGAGGAACACGTTATCTTCACACGCTGTGTCTGATACCTGAGCTACCTGGAGTGTTTCCTGGCCCAAAGCGGCGGCCTGACTAACACACATGCACGTCGACAGGCACACACACACACGTTTAATGCTTGCACACAAACTGCAGGCCGAGTGGCGTCTGGGGCCTGTGTCTGCCTGTTCCTGGCTCGTGTGGCGGGATGGTGTGTTTAATTGGGTGTAGCACGCACCGTACTTCGGGGAACTGAGATAAGTTATATTCTGCCCGTTAAAGGGGACAGCAAAACCAGGAAGCCGGAGTTCCATCTGCCGGTTGCGCTCCAGCCACCAGCGCTCCCTCCCTGGTCGGAGCCCAGTGGGGAGATGTAGCAGGTGTGGAGGTGAGGAGGCGGAGGGGGGGCGGGTAGGGAGAGGAGGAGGGGCGGGTGGGGATTGTCAGACAACCCAAACAAAACAGAGTAAACCGCTCTCGTCAGTCAGCGCACAACCCCGCCGGTGACTGGTCAGTGCTCGTCTCTCCAGATGTGTGCAGCAGGTGCTAGAAATAATACTGGGCTCGAACGCGCATCAAGTCCCCCAAAAATGCGAAGGAAAAGTGTTCTTCCCAAGGACAAAAATCAAACGCTCCTCTCCTCCTCCCTCCCGTCCGTGCGGAGCGCGTCAGACTTTGTAGTAGATGTTGGCGGGGCTCTGCGGGGGCATCTCCTGGACGATGTAGACGGGGTGGCCATAGTCGCCGCTCACCTTCTCATAGTGAGGGCAGTAGTTGTTCTCTGTCCGCAGCGGAATGATGATGTCACTGGGCTCCGTGCCGGCCGTGCCCCCGGGCAGCTTCGGATTGGACAGCGTGCTGAGAGACAGCGCCGAGGGGCGGGGCTGCGAGTGGGCGTTTTTCCTGGAGCGCTTGCGCATCTTAATGAGCAGGATGACGAGGAGGAGGATGAGCAGGAGGAAGATGATGCAGCCGGCCGCGATGGCGCAGAACACGGCCAGTTTGGAGCTGAGGAAGCCGTCCGAGTTTCTAGACGGGCCCTGATTCATGGAGTCTGGAGAGAGGAATAAAAAGAGAGGGCTTAGGGACTGTGCATAAATCTTTGAAAAAGGGCTTTCATGTGAGCCATAAAGGTCCGTTTGGCCATATGCAGAGGATATGGGGGGGGGGGGGGGGGGGGGGGGGAATATTGGGGTGGCCAAACCCCTGGGGAAGGAGGGGGTGCCGGCCCCCGGGTTCCCCCTTTGGGGAAAAAAAAAAAAGTTTTTTTTGGGGGCCTTTTTTTTAAAAACGAGAGGGGGGGTGTTTTTCCAATTTTTTTGGGAAACAAATCCTGGAGGGCCCGAACTGAAGGGTTTTTCCCCCACCGGGGCCCGAAAAACCCAAAAAAACGGGGGGTTTTTTTTTTAAAAATTAAGGCTGGAAAAATGGAATTTTTTTTCTATTTTAAAACCTTTTTCCCCAAAAAATAACCCCCAAAAGGGAGCAAAAGCACTTTAAAATATGCAACTCAACCGAAAAGCTATTGTGTTCCTGAATGAGAAATCCTACTGATTAAGTAGACTATTATTTTCAAAACACAATATCTCTTCTCTATTACTATTCAATAAACTATCGAGCGCCACATTAGAATTAAAGGCTCCACTTTGAACAGATGTCTCATCTAAGCCCATTGGGCTGAACTCCTCGCTCACTCTTCACTTGAAGTGAACATTTGAATGCAGGACTTGTACTGAGCAGCATTTGTAGTTGTTCTATCAATAGTTAATAGTTTTACATCAGGAAAAAAAAATGTTTGAGTGCTCTCCTTGTCCCACCACTACAGAGACCAACATCCTCAGCTAGAGAAGTAAAGCACGACGGCGTTTGACCAACTTCCCAAATCACATCACTAAACCGACCCTGAAAGCACACATGTAGGTTGGCAAAATAAACCCTGGTTTAATTCTATTTCCTGTCAGCTACCGGCTCATTTTGACTCCAGGGAAGACCGGCTTGCGGAGGAAATACCGCTCCACAGGGCTCTGGACCCCCCACACACACACACACAGTGGGTTGTGTGCTTGAAATTGCACTAAATTCAACACTGCGCTGGTGCACACACAGACAGACTCCGATATCTCTGGCTCTGTAGCTGGATCCATTATTTGTTTACTTCTTACTTCCCAACAGATTGGATGGGCAACAGTCAGTGACCCTCACCAACCCAATTATTTCCATTACAGCTGCTCAGAGACTACAGAACAATCAGAGGATCATATCATTTACAGTAAGCATCGCCTCTCGCGTGCAGATCTCACTGCTCGCCGCCCAAATCAGCTGTGATCGCGTCCTCATTTGTTGTTCTCTCTACATGACTAACAGCCCCGCTGACGTGATTTAATTGCATTAGCTCATTCAAAATAGACTCCTAATGAAATCTGCAGACATCACTCCACACACCAGAGATTCCCGCTCTGATAAGACGGAGCCGTGGCAGCTGGTGTGACGTGTCGGGGCCACGTTAGTCCGGCGAAGGCCAAGCGACACATGGGGGGGGGGGGCTAAAAAAAAATGATTGACGAGGGCATATCTGAACATCTGATTGTATTTTGTCCCTTTGTCTCTGGGGTTTTGGGGATCGGGGCTGAGACTGCCCCCTCCAGTGACCGAAATCTGAGAAGAACCCAATCTGTTTTCCATGTATGTACGCAGCTGCTGCCAAAGAGCAGCACTCACCTCCTCCCACCATCACCCCTTTACTGTCCATGACCCCCCCCCCCCCTCCCTCCACAGGCACACAAGAGCCTTGTACCTCCGGAGCCGGCCGTCCCCTCTAATGACTGTGTCGTTGCACTCGGCTGACCACTCCGCACTTAACCATTTACCGAGGGAGGGGATCGCTGCGCCCTCACGCCTTATCGCGCCTAAGTGACATCACTGAAAGCTACCGATTGCAGCCTTATCAGTGAAATCAGAGGCGTGAGGAATTTCTGGGCGCTGGAAGGCAGCCGGAGAGGCTGCCGCACGTTTCATTCCTGAGATTTCAGCCCCTCAAACCGCAGTGACGCGGTTCTTCAATCCACCCGACACTTTACTTTACATAATCACTGATCCAACAATGGTAGACAGGTGAAAGCCTCGGTGGAGGGAAAAGTGACCAGGAAATCTTTTTGTAGAGCTAACTAATGTCGAATAAGCAATTATTTAATGAGGGCAGCTCATCACATTGGGAAGGGCAGAACGGTCTGTACTTTGGGGGAGTTTGTGGCACACAAAGTTGTGGAGTAAGTCAAAAAGTTGAGAAGTGGTCTCTTTTGTGGGAAGGAAGTTCTGAAAGGTGCAGGTGAAAACAGGAAAGGAGGAGGGCCCGGAGCTGCAGTGACTCCTTCAATTATCTCTGCTTTTAATCTCAATTCATCTGCAATTCAAATGAGGTTTAAAAAGCGATATAACAAAGAGGAATGTCTTTGGGTCTCCTTGGGTGCAGCGCGCACTTTGTGTAGGAGAAATTGACTCAGGGTGAGCTGTATTTGTTTCGGGTGTGGTTTGGTATTGTTTGAATGCTGATTGTGTTTTGGTGAGGGTTATTCTACCCTTTATAACATCTTCCCTTTTCACATGCCGACCCCCCCCCCAAGGTATCAAAAGAAGGCCTCCGGCATGAAAAAGACACATGAGAGAATACTTACTTTGGCAGCTTCAACTATGGTTTTTTATTTTCTCTTTTCAGGCTAAATATGATTAATTATTAGAGAGATCCTTCAAGCTATGAATATCCCCTTTTTACCATTAAAAACAACTATATTACTTAAATATTTGCACAAAGCCTTGTGCAAAGAGTCAGCAGTTTTTGGGGTCAAGTGTTGATCTGTCAATCTGCTCACCAGTGTTTCCTGGCATCTCGGGTTCTTTCCGACCCGGGGCAGACGGACTGGGAATGGACTCCGGTATGGCGTTGTCGTCTGTAGCGTCCGGCGCCACGGGGTTCGCTGCGTTTGGGACTGTGGGAAACACAAAACGCACAGAAAACTCAGCCTCGGCCTGCTGCATGTGCTGAATTGCAATGACTCGTTCCCCCTGCGTCAGTTATTTCTTCTTATTATCTTCTGATGAATGCGTTATACACAGAGAAGGTTATTGTTGCGTGTGTTGAAAGTGCCTCAGAAGTGAAGATGAAAGCAGAAAAAAAAAGAAGGAAGGACAAGTTAGCGAACGTCTGCGAAACACGGCATTATCCCTGTCCTGTCGTAAAAAATGAGCTCACATCTACACATCAGCAGCTCCTTCAGCAAACACTCAGACAGGCCTTCCCCACACACACACACATTCATACCATCTCAGGGCACGCACACACACACAACAGCCCACACCTAGAATATACTTACAATACACTTAGGCATGGCAGAATGAGGGTAAAGTAGTTATATATTAACTTTTTATTGTTCTACATTATTCATCACGTTAAAAGGCCATGATATGTCTTATTTATTGCTCTGGGTTTGACTCCTCCGAGGAGGAGAGGACAACGGGAGGGGGACAGGGAAAGGAGGAGGTTGTATAGGCTCGAGGGGGGGAACGCAAAGGAAACAGACGGTTTATCTGTCCGTCTGTTGTGATTTCAGAACACGCACTTTGAAGTATTTCCGCGGTAAGCACCCGGTGGGCGCGCGGCGCGGCTTTTACGAGGGCCGGGCCGCCAGCCAGAGGACGCTTATAAACTATTACCGAAGCCGCTCTGATGGATTCCACAGAACACTATCCGATGCACAATCTGCATCTGCCCCGAAGGCCCGCCTGAAGGGTCGTGTGTGAGAAACAGAGAGGAGGGCGTGTGAGGAGGCAATTTACATCAGGGTCCCTTGTGGCAACATTGCAATGCGTGTGTGTGCGAGAGAGAGACAGTCTAGCAGTCCATTTTCTATTTCCACCTCAGTTTGGCCGAGACGGGAAAGGGAAATGATTCGGGTGTGTGATGTCTGGAAGATATAACCGAGAGAAAAGGAGAGGGAGAAAAAAAAAGAGGAGATAAAATCATGAGCAATAATGTTTGTTTCTGTTTTTGCAAAAACCACCTCACTATGAACAAATTGATCTCCTCTTCCATCTCCTCCATGTCCAGACCACCGCATTGCTTCGCAGCCACTGCAGCCGCGGTGGACTTAGCCACGAGCTGTTGTGCTCCGTCAATAATTGATGAGAAAAGACAGGAGCGAGAAATGGGGGAACATTGGCGTACGGCGGGCGGTGCGACGGGAAACAGTGATCTGATTCAGACACAAAGGCCTGTGCGTCTACCACGGAGCATGTGCAGGGAACGTTCTGACCCATTTTCCTGTGTGTGTACTGCTGACATTTTCCTTAGCTATGCAGACAACCACTACATCAGAACTGCCAAATGGCAGAAGAAGGGAGATCGGGAGACGGGGGAGAGAGAGAGAGAGAGAGAGAGAGAGGGGAAGGTGCGTTCGAGGCGGTGAGTCAACATATTTCTAATGAGCTCGGTGACATGATGTGGTGGAGGGGAAGGAGAGCAGCGATGAATGTATAAAATATGGGCTGCCCATATCTTCCCCTGCAATCAATTGAGCTTCCTCTTTCCTTCCCATTTCAAATGGAGACAAAAGGCGGAACACGAAAAGAGTACAATTAGATATCGACGCGTCAGGATGACGCATGCTTTCCCCACATGGACCGATGATTCAACGTGATTGGGCGCGGGGGCGTCTTTGCAGGAAAATGCGCTACGGATGGAAAGTGCACATCGGCGTGAGTCACCAGGATGTAATCCACGGAGCAAAGTGCAAAAGGGCTGGAGTGGACCTACGCTGGCTGGGTATATGTTGGGATCGCGGCTGCAGGAAGGGCTGGCATTAGCTTCAACACAATAGCATGCAGGGTGAGGGCCAGGCTGAGACCTGGATTGTTAATGTTGTTAATTGAAACAACATCCAGCGCGGCTGCACAGGGTTTGAGTCTGGGCTGCAAAATAGGAATTGTTTTTTTTTTTTGTCTTCAAAAGACTTTTTGAACAGGTCACAAGAAAAAGAATATTCAATTTGTGGTCAAATGGGAAAGAGAAAAGCAGCACTTTGTGAGCTACAACGGGCAAATGTTTGAGGTTTGCCGCTGGATGATTTCCCAAAACACATTTTTGGTAAATGAGATGAACTTTGAGTCAACCCTTCTGGCGACTTATCAACACGTCCTTTCAGCACCAGTAGAGTCGGTCTAAAGTATCACTTTCAGTTATATTGCTTTTCTGGGAAACTGATGCTTTTCTTTGGTAAACAGTGGAAAAATATTCAGATACTTAATCAAAAACAATAGCAGTAACAATACCATAATGTACAAATACTCCATTACAAATAAAAGTCTTGCTTTAAAACCTTTCCATGGGTAAAACTGTGTAGTATTACAGTATTACAAGCCCATGTGGGAAAACGGACCCTCTTATATCTTTGTATTATTATTGATAGAATTGTTAGTCCACAAAAATGCTAAATCTTATCTTTATAATTATATTTTGTCCAATAAAACGTCTAAATTTAGAGATACGTAGGGGCTTGATTTTTGACAATGAATATCATTTAAATTGAAACTATTCTTATTTTGAGCATCATTATGACATGTGAAATACAGCTAAAAAGATCACTTTTTAATTATAACCACCTAAAGATTAAATCTTATTTCAATTAATACTTTTGAAAAAGTAACTTAGAATATGCAAACAGCAGCTAAATCAAAGTTTCAGTCGATGCTCTCATTTCTGACGGCTCTTTCAACCGTGTTTGCGTTGGACGGCCACATTGTGTCGTCCGCTCACAGGAATAGATTTAAAAGTAGTAGCGGCTGGACCAGCAGCATCTTTTTCAAAACACGGTTTTTAGGGTGCACAGCTTGTTGAGTGACAGCTTGAAAAGCCTGAACTGTGCGTGCCGCCCAGGCGACGTTGAGGAAATGCCGACAGCCAGAGAGAAACTCTCGAGCCGAGCGTGAGCGTTTCCTTAAGTAAGACATTTCCTTTCAACTGCCGTTAACCTGAGCCGAGGCATTTTTTTTATTTTTTCATCCATGTTAGTGGTTTAGTGCAAAAGTCCGTGAGGCCACGACTGTCTGACGCCCGAGATTGTTGCAGATTTTTTTTGCTGTTTTTGCTGAATTTGTTTAAAACAGACGCCGACCTTGCTAGCATTAGCAGCCGGTTAGCTTCCATTCTCCCGCAGACTGCCAGGATACTCTGCTGCCATCCCACTGGCCAACGTTCAAATATCTGAACACAAATTTGCAGACACACACACACACACACACACACACACACACACACACACACACACACACACTGTCTCTGCAAGTCTAAGGTTTATTCTTGACAGGCTGGGAAGCAGATTTTAAGCCCCAATCAGCTCGTGGTGGTGGGCAGATGTTCCTCTAATGGGGCGTTCAGTGTCTGTTTAGGTCAAAACAGCATCGCCCAGGATGAGGGGGGATGTTTAGAGAGCAACACATCTGTGTACTGTGCTCTGTCACGTTCAGGAGATAGAGGTCCACATATTGAGCAAAAAACTACGTCTAAATGTGAAAAGTATGATACGAACCAAATGTTGTGTCCAAGGATATCTAAACAAAGCCGGCTTGTTTACTTCCAGCGCTTTGAGATGTCTTACCCTGACTGTGCACTTACATATAAATTTCCAAACACATTTCCATTCCTGGTTGAGTTTAGAAGAATCTCAAATAACAGCTGAGGGATATCAGAAGACTTTTTTTTTACATTTTCAAACAAAGGTTTCTTTTCAGTCATTTCTTTGTTCTCTCTCTGGGATCTCAGTACGTGAGGCAATAAAATCACGTATCTAGATATTCAACTGAGACGCAGCTTGTAGAAGTAAGTAACCAGGCGGCAGATGTATGGCTATCGATATACCTTATCTAATCACTGCACTTCATCACTCTGAAGGAAAAATCCTGTAAAGCCAGTCTATAAAGCAGTCCCGCTTATTGATTTGCAACATTGCCCTTAATGGACTGATACAACCAGAGATATTAAAGCAACGGTTACCTCAGTATGATAAAGTGTGTGGGGGAATCTTGTCTAATGTCAAATATTATTCAATAACTGCGGATTTAAAAATCCTACGAAGCCAGTACAATAAGTTATAATACAATTTCTTCTTTTTTTTCTTCTCGTTTTCTTTTTTGGCATCAATAAACAGTATAGCATTAATATTTAATGGTTTATATAACCGAATGAGGTTTTTGTGCACTTATAATATAATAATAATGTCTTTTTTTGACTGACTAGCTTTATAATAATTAGAAATGATGGCCCCCTGTTCATATTAATGTAACATATTTATTTCATACATTCTATTGAACTTCAAATAAGCTTAAACATAAGAATGTAAGAATTTGTTTCTGTGTATAATCATACATTATTAAATATGATTGTTCTGTGTTATCAATCCTTCATTAAATATTAATAAAAAACTGTCATAGATTTTTGTACTGGAGATTTTAACTGTTGAAAAATACATACATTTAGAGTAAGATGCAAAACACTATGAATTTTTGAATGTATCTGTACTGTGTCATAACCTGTTTAATAATTATGTTTAACAAAACTAACTAAAAAAAACCAACAAAAATATATATAAAAAATCTATAGTTCTTGGCAGCAGCTCCTGTCGGAGGCTGGTGGCACGCTAGGCACACAAATAGCGATAAATGAGAATGTCAAACCCAGAGGGAAACACGGCTTTGAGGCAGAAGCGCCGTGTTGTGTCGCACATGTGAGGTGAGCAAACATTTACCTTGCCCGACTTTCATAACGACTTTCATGGATCGGCTCTTGCACACGCCTCCCTCCCGGTTCTCCAGGCCCTCGATGGTACCGTTGGAGGTGGCTGGAGGGGAGAGAAGGAGATGAGGTGCGAGGAGAAAGGAGAGAGGGGGTGGGGGGGGGGGGGGGAGAAAAAAGAAGCCGGGGAGAAGAGAGGATGACACACTGGTTAATGAGCACGTCCACAACGCACAGAAATAATCAATATTTACGACAAGCACTGATTAGCTGTTGCAGTGATTAGCCGTTCTCACCCTCAATCAACCGTCAGCTCCTCTCAACGGCATCTCTCATTACTCCAATAAGTCAAACGAGTGGAACAACATTAGTCCACTGGGAGGAGCCTGGTCAGACCTGTGTGTATGTGTGTGTGTGTGTGTGTGTGTGCGTTTGTTTTATGTCATTGCGTGCGTGAACGGTGAGACGTGCCAGCCAAAGTTCCCGCTGCTCGCCAAGTCCTCGAGCTGCTTACTCCCTCAGAGCCACATGTGTCATTACTCGCTGGTAGAGCCGAGAGCTAAAGGCCCCCCTTAACGTTTGTGTGTGTGTGTGTCCGTTCTCCATTAGTGTGCGTGCGTCGGCCTCATTCGACTTGTTTTAAAGTGCGCGTTCTGCTCGAACTTGAGCGAGGCTGTTTATTCAATGTCACATTCTCTTCACACACTGTGACACAATTGGCTGTCTATTTCAGGGCCCATGATAATGACCTGGGGAGACAGAGTGTGACTCTGACCTTAACGGCCGGCGCAAGGCGGCTGTGCGTTTGTGCGTGTGTGTGTGTGTGTGTGTGTGTGTGTGTGTGTGTGTGTGTGTGCGGCCGTGCGCCTGTGTGGGCGCATGCGATGGCAGCTCTAATTTTGGAATTCCCCGAACGATCTCCATCTACGCTTAGTCTGCTGTTTCAACTTACTCCCTTCCTCTGAAATGCTTTTGTTTCTCTTCCTCGCATTACCCGCCTTGGCCTCTCTCGCTCTCTTCCTCCCTCCCTCCCTCTCTCTCTTTTTGGCTTAGTGCGTGGAGGTTTTTTTTTTTTTTATCCTCCCCCTTCCCTCCCTTTTAACTCAATGACCATCTCCCTTGGTGATTGCTTCAGATGGCACCCTCATTACGGAGAGGTAGTCCGGGAGAGGGTGCTTATCTAATGATGACACAAAGAGGGGCAGACACAGACGTGGCGGGGGGGCAGGGGGGTAAATGCTTACCCTCCGCGCTCTGTCTAGGTTTCCACCGGCCTTTCCCTGCTATAACCTGGCGGCGCATCCAGCGGCGCTGAAACAAGCTCCTCTGCTTGATTCATGCCTTGTCGTAGCTAAGTATTATTAACGCTGACATTTCGTTGCCCTATGGGAGCTCAGCTTGTACTCCGGCAAAATTGGAGAACAAAAAAGTAATGAATTGCGCCAATATTATGTTACGTTATCAGATCATACCCGGGCTGCAGATTAGGAAGGGAACCGCAACATTCCGGACTACGTGATAATTCGCGAAGGGGGATTGCGATAACATTGTGACAGCAGCTCTCTGGCAAATTCCCCCAGCTGTAGACTCAACAGGCTGGAGCGAGCCGGACACTGAAATATATACGAGGGGGCCAGGCCCCGCCGAGTGAGGCGCAGGATCTTTTAAATTTACGTAGGACATTAATGTGAATGAACACTGGAGGCTAAGTGAGTCCTATGATTTATGAAAAGCCCATGCAGGGAACACGCCTCTTTCTAAAGGGAACATTCAAAGACAGTGAGGTGAACACACACACACACACACAAAGGCGCAACGGCCCACACTGCCCAATTTCTCCCCTTATTTCCAAATTTCCAGGGGAAGGTGTGCGGAAAAATGAGCTCTTTGAAGATGGAAGCTCAAGAGGCTCCTCGAATAATCTGAGTAAGAGTGAGCGTCATGCTATGAATTTTATATCCACTCAGGGGGAGCTAATCTTCTCAGTGTTAACTTACCTCTGTCATCTAAATAAGCTTTTCCTTCAGGCTGGCTGAACAGGCTCCGCGGCTGATGTGGCACAATGATAAGTTGCCCCTTCGGGGCTTCTGTTTGGGGCGCTGAACGAGAGCTGGGTTTTTATGCAGCGATGATCACTTTGTACCTTGTTTGTGCTCGGGTCGTTTAAAAAAACGTCAGATAACTCAAGGCTTTTACTGTACCAACGGAAAAGTCATAATCCGATTAACCGTGAACAATTCCAACCACATTTCCTTATGTCTTTGCCTCTTTTAAGCAATATTTCAGATGGGAAATTGACTCCAGAAACGACTGTTGAGTCCATTAACGTGTGTGTGCTCACACACTGCTGTTTGTCATTTCATCCGGTGTGTGATATATCTGTAGTTACATTTACCATGTCGGTCTACAATGAAAAACACATAACTGCCAGTCACATTACTCAAACTCAAAAACCGTTGTCCACAACAAGGACACACTGTCGGCTCATTTTAATCTGAAAGCCTCTCTCTCTCTCTCTCTCTCTCTCGCTAACTCCTGACGTTAATCCAAATCTGGATTTCCAGATATTAAAAGGCCAACGGTCATGTCGTGTTTTGGAAAGAGGAAACTGGGGAATTGGGTCTTCCTGTGTGTCTCGGCGGAGATAAAAAAAAATTTTTAAAACCCAAGGGGATAAAGCAAACCGTAGGACGAAGAACAAAGAAACCCCCTCTCTTCTGTTAATGATTTAGTGGAACAAACCGGTTAAGCGCGAGGAGCCCAGGATACCGAAAGAGCTGGTCATTGCATGAAGGAATGTTGCTCTTTTTTAATAAAGCGGTCAGGCTCCAAAGCTGTTTTTTTGTATAGTTTAGGGCCCTTTCTGTGGGTGTGTCTCACTGGCCGCAGAGGGGCCACTGGGAGAACAAAAGAACTACAGCTGCTGAAGTCATAAGAGAAACCAGGTGCCAAATGTTGATGTTGGGAAATTTCTACAGCGCAAAACGTGTCAGCCAACAGAAAGCCTCGCCGGGTCAAAGAGCTGGCCCGCAACAAGGGCTCCTGTTCCAATACTACGCATGCACACCGCCGCCAACGCCGCATTCAGATCCATATGTGAATGCACACAGATTTACCCAAGGACGTTCGGGATGGAGCCGAAGAACTGCTCCCGGAGGTGCAGGAGTGGGAGAGACGTGTGAGGGACGACACAAGCTGGGGCTAAGGGGTGACGCGGCGGTCTATATTTGTTCTCAGGTCTGCTAAATGAGGTCACTCAGGTGGTCCTGCTGAATACATCCCTCCTCCCCAACTCCATCATGAATCATCCGCTGCTTATTATTCCTGTCCAGCCCAGGAGGGGCTGCTGGCTTTCATACAGTGGGCATGTGTGTGTGTGTGTGTGTGTGTGTGTGTGCGCTTGCGTACCTGCTCTTGTGCGCAACATCTGCCCTAAAGCAGCGAACAAGGGGGATGGATACAGTGTGTGTGACAGACAGAGAGCAGGTTGTTTAATGAGAAAGTGGATGAGAGGTGACATTCATTGGCTACCTTTCTTTGACTCACACACACACACAAACCCTCATTCTCCACAGCATTCACACTTCCACTTAGACGAGCCAAGCCCAGCCGGCGTATTCACGGCAACCACCCGCAGTAATAGTGACTACATTTTGAGAAGAAGAAAAAAAAAAAAAAAAAAAGGAAAAAAAGAAGCTCAACAAATAAACAGTCGCAACCAGGATCCCATCGCTCACACTTAGCATCAGGAAAAACAGCAGCAAACAAAGCCGCTCGGATGCCGTTGGAGGCAAAGCACGGGGCTAGACTATCAAACAACAGCGTCACAACAGAGCCGGGCTATTGCTCACACCTGCCATGTTTCCATCTTGGTCTTTGCTTTACATTAGCGCGCCGCATTCAAAGTGGGGGAGAAGGAGCCTATTTGAACATTATATTTCACTCCTGAACGAGCGCAGAGAGCGTTAGATTAGGTTTATGGGCCTGATTCCACAGATTACCCAGCAGATCTGGCATGCATGCGAGCACACGCACACACACACACACACACACACACGCGCACACACACACGCAGACAGACAGACAGACAGAAGTTGGTAGACTGGAATAATACTGGGGGATCGGGATGTTTGCACTTTGAACCTTTTCTAATCCCGAGTATTAGGCCATGGCTAAAGCCTGATTACTGCACAATGAAATGGATCTAAATAGATGTCTTTGCCTACATTTCTCTGTCCCAGGAATAGAACTGGAAATCAATAATCAACCTCCAACCTCTCGCTCGCACTCAGAACCTTTCACATCATCTCCGATGAACCCTTCCTTCTCGTCCTCCTCTTCAATAATGAAACCCGGCAGACAAAATGAAATAGTCCTATCATGGACTTCATCGCTGCATCTTCATTTTTGCTAATCTTATATCGAATTTGGGTCGGGCTAAACTGTAGATGTTGCCGGTAGCCGCCGCGGCGAGCACGTCGCAGCATTAGTGTCGAGGTTTGAGGTGGTTAGCGGTCCGGTGCACACAACTGTTGCTCGGCTTACTGCTTCAGGATGCAGCCAGAGGGGGAGCTCCTCTCCTGCATCCCGATTAGTCTGCTCTCTCTCTCTCCCTCTCTCTCATACACACTCACACACACACACACACACACACACACACACACACACACACACACACACACACACGCACGGCTGCACACAACCCCAGTTGAAAATAGTTTTGAAAAATATATACAGACATGTAAGCACTTGGCCCAACGGAAGCAAATACACACCAAAATACACACTGACATGTGCACACACACACACACACACACACACACAAATACTTATTCACACACACCCACACACACAGACACACACACTGGCTGCCTGTGTAGCCAGAAGATCAGGCAGGACTTAAGAGCTCCTCCGACACCAAAATTACAGGCCACCTCTAAGTCCTTCCAGCAGAGAGCAATATGGGATAGCGTGGGGGGGGGGGGAGGTGTGTGCGTGTGCAGGGGTGAGGTGTTAAGAGAGGGCATGGAAAGAGGGGTGAGGGAGGGCAGGAGAGGAAGCAGGAGATTCCTTTTTTCGAAGATGAGGTAGCGTACGACCCGGGGA